CCACAGATGCAAGGGAGAGTGGGAAGCTGAGCATTTAAGGCTGACCATGGTGTCGTCCTGAACAAGTTAGAGAGAGGGGGAATGGCCATTGGGCAAGAATTAAGCAGGGCTCTCTACACCTATTGGCACTGCTGAGCTCCGTTTTCTTTATCGAGTGGCACACCCTACTTCAACGAATGGATTCTCTCTCTCTCTCTCTCTCTCTTAGTGGCCCTGCCTCCCTGTTCTTGTCAGCACAGCTTCCCACAGATGCGAACGACCGTCTCACATCGGCCAGAGAACTGTCCCCCCACACATTCCTTCCCAGGACCTGACTCAGCAAGAGGGGTGACAGTATCTGAGGAGGGGTGAAGGAAGACCTCCTCGGTTCTCACGGGTCAACCTCATCTGTACACACAAGAATGCTCCCAGAATCCCTCAGCCAAACAGGCTGTGTCCATTGGGTCCAGTGCTTTGCATACTGCAAGGGGTGCTAGGATGACCATGAAGATGCCGAGCAGGGTCTCTTGGGGGCCTCGAGGACGGAGCCCGCCAGCTCTCTGAGCTGTCCCACTGTTGAGAGCAGCGAGAGGAAGCCTCCGCCCCCGCCCAGAGAGCGAGTCCTGACCGCCAGGGTGCCGCACAGGCTGGCCGGCAGCCCCCAGCGCCCAGCCCTGCGCCCTCTCCCAGGCTGCTCGCCCTGGCCCCTCAACGTGGGGGCAGCTGTCCAGAACCACATTTTGCTCCAGCAGATGACTTTCTTTCCAGATGGCTTGGGACCAACACGATGTCACTTTACTGCGGTCTCTGCATACGGGAGCTGGGCCAGCAGAGGCCCAGGGCCGCTGCAGGATCTCTGGGAAAGGGCGCAGAGCGGCTCGCCAGCCATGCAGGGACGCTGGGGCTGCCCCTGCCTCCGGGTCTGCCCCACCACCCCACCTGCTCTGAGTCTTCGCTCACAGTGCCTGATGGCAGAGTCGCACACGGGCAGCCATAGCTCCTAGTCCTGGGGCTGCCCGTCCTCAGTGGGGTGAGGCGCTCGTCTCAGGAGTGAGGTGGCTAGCTATCCTTCGCACATTCATACCCCGCATTGGGGCACAGAAGGGAAGTCTTGGTTCTGCCTGGGATGGATCCTGTGACATGGGCTAGCTCGCATCTCCACTCTGGGCCCCCGTTTCTCCAACGAAGTCAAGACAGCACTCTCTCTCATTCAGCACAAGAATCCTTAGGGGCACAGGCACTGGACTGCTCAAGGAAAGGTCGGCAGTTCAAGGCCGCCAGCCCTCTGAGGACGGAAGAGGGCCGACAACCTCAGAAAACCCTGGGAGCCCCTCCCACTCCGTCCTAGGGGTTGTTGTGGGTCCACTCGACTCGGCAGCAACAGTGGGCGTGGTTTGGGTCTCAGTCTTCAAGGGGTGGGTGTTATTCAGTCTCTTAAGCTTTGCATTTTTAAATATTGAGCCCTCATCAAGTGATGGAGAATCGAGTCCATCCTCCGTCGAATAAACCATCTTTTATACTCAGCATTTGAAACCACAGGCCAGGCCATTTACGTGCATTTTCCTTCCTATTCTTCACAACTGCCGGGTGGAGATACTGCTATAATTCCCATTTTATAGTTGAGGAAGAGGAGGCTCAGAAAATGAACTAGAAATGATGGGAAATCTCAAGTCACAGTGGCTCCCGGGAGATGGCGCTCAAAGTCACTGAAGGTTACATGAGGATGCTCCGGCCTACCTCTCTGCAGAGGCCACTGCCCACAATTTCTAATGCTCCACACAGTCCTGAGACCCAGGTTCCTTGAAGGTTGTTTCTCTCCCTCTAATTCCCAAAGTTGATGCAGCATCTGAGAGGGTTGAACCTTTTTGAAAAAACGCCGTTCCAGGGCGGGGGATGAGCCAGTCAGGGTACAGGGTAGCAACGATGAAACATACAATTTTCCTCTA